GAGCTTGTACAAGTAGAGGAGAAAAGAATTTTAATAACTGTTGTTTTGTTGCTAAGTTACTGTTACAGTGTATTCTTAATCACTTGTCACAAGCTTTCAGGCTTTCCAAATTTTCAGCCCGGTCTCTGGCAGGACAAATTTTCTTCAAAAACTAATAATTATTTATTAGGAATTTATGATGAGGAGGAAATTTCAGAGCACAGGTAGCTTGCTTAAGTAGCCTATCATCTTCTAATAAAACTATTAAGCGTCGCTCACGAGATAAGATAGAATAGAATGATTATAGTTGATTCAAATAAGATGTGACAAGCTCCTGGAGAAAATTATATTAAATCTCACTTAGGTAAGGTTAAATACCTGAATTATCTTAATTTTATCTCTCTTCCTGCATTCAGGTACATCCTTCTGAATCAATTTACATAGAAAGGGCAATCATCTTACTGTTATTTTCTTATCTAACTCTATTGTGGCAGTATGTAACTTAACCATTATGTTCACATAATGGGAGATCTTGCATGTCTAGACAGGGAAAATGCAATTAACACAGCTCATAGAGATTAAATAATTAGCACAACATCACGTTACCATGACAAGTTAACCCACTCAAGGATGAGGAACAGATAATGAAAATAAAACTTTCAAGGTTACCCATTGAAACAGGAACCATCTACTATACCTCTATAAAAAGAAGATTCCTCCTTTGGCTGGTCAAAATCCATGTCATGATCTTTCAAAGCATGAATTTTAATGTTTTTTGTGAAGTTTTTCCAAATCAGAAAAATAGTTCAAATGAAGAACTAGTAAGGAAGTTTCTTATTACTTTCATGTCTTCGTGAAATCTCATATATACTCTGAGAATTAATTATTTGAAAACTATTTAGTTGACTAAAGGACTTGTCTTTTGGCGGCTAAAGAATGAAACAGCTCTGATAGACTTCAAGATATGACTACAATATTATTCAAGCCAACTAACAAAATTAGCAAAAGGATTTTGAAAACTGGATTGGTGAAAGTCATCAAAATAGTTATCAATGTTCCCAATATCAGCTATAACTCCTGAGACTAAAAAAGGAAAATATTTCGAAACTAGTACATTGGGAAAAGTTAAAACTAATAAATAACCTATATTTGTCTATTCTTTAAATATATATCATATATTATATATCTATGAAGTAAGCAACAAATCTACTATTTTACAAATAATTTTATGCATTGTATTACCAGACTCTATGAGTTCCAATTGATGTGGGTAGAGAACAAATGTATAACTGAAACCTTTCCGCATTAGTAATCTATATAGTGGTATGAATTCATTTATTTCTTATTTTTTATTTCTACACGGTTGTAAAATATCTACACAGCTTCATATTCATTGTCAGATGACGGTTCACCATTCTAATTTATATAATGCTGCTTTGAGCATTTAAGAATTCCAGCTTAATAAAGCTGCAATTTGAATGCTTAGGCCTTGTTTGATTCCCTTTAAAATTTTAATACATTTTTCTCTCGTGTTCAACCACACATTCTTTAATAAAATAATATTACACATAAATCAAAAAAAATTCCTTCTTTTTAACCACACATTCTCCCGAAAACTACTATTCCAGAATACATTTTACCCAAATTTCTCATTATAATGGTTGTCATACAGGGGGGCCTAATTCTACAACAATTACTGGTTTTCATTTTTAGTATCATATCTAGTAAGATCAAACTCAACCATGTCACTACAATGAGTTCAATTGCAAAACTTCAATATCGCTCGCATGTGCAAATGGACATGAGACGTTGCTGGAAGCGACCATGTACCTTGGGCTCGCACTATGGCTGCAACTTTGAAGACAATGCTTTCCTTTTACGTTTTCCATCTACGGTAGGCATGCAACATAAAAGACTGATCATATTCTATACAATGAGAAACATTTAGCATATTTAACAAATAAGGACATTATTGTGATTGTTAGAGAATAATCCCTTCCATCCCAATATTATAATTTCATAATTATTCTAAACTTTAAAAATTTCACAATTCCAACAATAAACTAACTGATACAATACATCCTCCAACTACTAAAATCTGAGAGTCGAGTTAATCATTGCACCATCAACATTAAGATTAAAACAGATTGAACACAGGAACAAAAGATAGAATAAATGGCTGACTTCCAATAAATGGATGACAAAATTAATATAGGAGCCATCAATCAATTAATCTCTCTCCATCCAGGAACTTCAAGATGGTAAAGCACAGATGAAATCACAAAGATAAATGGAAGAAACGTAACTCAGAATGGTGCACCAAAATAAACACAGAAGGGAGTAGAAAAAAGAAGGTGAAATGCCCAGAGTGTTGTGGTAAGAAAGTACCTGAATTATCTTATTTGCATTAACCAGTGTACTAGCTGCCCCATGATCCGATGGCTTTCCAGCTGCACTTTTACCAGCTGCAAGATCAGATGAAGGCGTGGTTGGAAACACTTCCATGCTTCTATCCTTGCTAATCTTTGCAGCAAAACCAGGGTTATCATATGAGGAGCTACCAAAATTCATTGGACCTGACGATTCTGACGGTGGATAAGAACAGGGAGCTGCACCTGAAATACCAATACCACCTTCTCAGACAAAAATACATGTTAAAACAAGAGATCATCTCCACTAAAAAGTCCTATTACATCCATAAAGAAGCATGCTGAACCACCCAAGACCCACCTACCCCAGATCCCCCAAAAAAAAGGATAGGAGACAGCTCAATGTAATTTCTTGGACTTTTTTTTTTTTTTTTTGAAACAATAAGAAATGAGATACAGCTCTTTCAAATTTTCCATTGAGCCAGCCATTGTATTCTGCGTTCGGGAAGGATGAATCGCTCCCAAAAAGAAATCTATTGATTCTCTCCCAATTGGTTGGACCATAGGTGTGATGATTTACTTCACTGGCAAGGTCTCTCGGTTCCTTCTTCCATAACCTGAGCTCGGAGAAGGAAGAGATAAGAGAGCCCTTCCTGAAGGTCCGGAGAAAGTTACAATCAAGAGGATTTCCCTAATCCTCCCTTCCTTTCATCTTTGGTTTCACTGCTTGTTGTTTTGTCTGGTTGAATAATACCACTTATCCTAACGAGTTCAATAATTTTGTTTATCATTAATAGTGAAAAATTATTTTTCTTCTCAATTCACACGAGTTATGGCATCAATACTTGTGTTGTTAAATTCTATCAAAGGAATGAACCGTGGTGTTTAACACTAGACACTTGAACAATAATCCTGCACCTCTCTAAGAACAATGCATTGTTAAAAGAGAGCCTCCATGAGGCATGTCTGTAACATAACAAGGGTATGTATAAACCCAGGACCAAAACAAGATACTTCTAGATTTCCTCAATTGCAATGGCCCACACTTCTAGCTTCCATTGGTTGAAATGGCAATTGCTTGATCGAATCTCTTTCACTTCACTTTCCTTTTGTGTTATATATTTTTATCCTCTGAACTAAGTCCATAGCACCTCCTTTGCTGCTAAAAGTAGGCAGCGTTTGAGACAAGACTGTCGTACATTTAAGGTCAAATTTAAGAGTTCTCAAAATCCTACGTATTTGGGTATTGGATCCTTGATGAATATCATTTCTATCACTTCCACAGTCACCAGGTAACCAGCTTGAAGCATATGCATCAGGTATGGAAATCACATTTCCAGCAAACCTCTCTTTACAGATTTCAGCCACCCCAAGTCTCTGGGTAGATCTCGCATTTACATTATCCAATCAGTGTTTAACCAGACTACCATTGTAGTATGCACGTATCCAGAGAAACGCAATATATACTGCCCTTTCCTTCCATATGCTTATGACAAACCATCCCCCTCTCTCTCTCTCATACTAAAGCTTCAAATAAAATACTGCTTTCGTTGTTCAAGTGTGTGAGAAGACTCTC